TTAGAGTGGGAAAAAATGAATCACGCAAAGTAGTTTCAAATTATTGAATCGGATAGAATAAAAGGACGTTAAAGAAAAGTAAAGAGAGGAGAATCGAATTGAACACGTGGGCCTCTAAATTTCATCCAATTCCAATTGAAACTGAAGAGAGAGAGAGAGAGAAAAAATTAAGGATTAGAGTATTTTGGTAAATAGCGATGAATCAGAAAACGAATTATGATTGTTATCGATATGTGAACTTCAGTTATGCAACATTGATGGATTAGTGATGGATTTTTAACAAAAGAGATATATCCGTTGCTATATTTGACAGAAAAATATTTACAAGGATTTTAGAGTCAATTTAGCGAGAGAATTACAATAAATCTATATTAGAGACGGACTCTTGATTTCGTTTCTCTTTTTTTGAATATTTTTTAGTCTGCATAAGAGAGCTTGAACACAATTTTTGCACCTCCAAATAGGAAACGTTTATTTTATTTTTTCTATTACTGGATATTTTTGTGTCAATTTGGACGTTAGTAAGATTAAGTCTTCTTTTAGATGAGTTTTATGTGTATACCTTTTTCATTGGTCACTTGTATAATAAAAAAAAATATTTTTTATTTTGCATGCCGACATAAAAACTTCTGCTCAAAAAAAAAAAAAAAAAACTCTTTAACACTATGCTTATCCCCTGAAAATTCACGTAAAATATTCTACATCTTTTAATTGAGTTTATGATACTTTTCTCACATGCATTATCATATATAGTATGCTAGACTTACCATATATCTTTGTGCTAGAAATTTAATATAAATTTTTTAAAAAAATTTTAATCGTTTCAGCAATGTTTTTATATTAACCGATTAGTGATGGAATATTTTTTTATTAAAATATTAAAAACTATTATTATTATTAATCCTAAATCCTAAACCCTAAAAATAATCCCATACCTTTCATTAGTTAATGATATTTTTTAACTATCACAATTTTTAATATTTTATTAAAAATATTCCAACAATCTTCCACTTATTTTTTTAATAAAATATTAACCATATAATTTGGATAAAAAAACGAATATAATACATAACAAATTATGCATGTAATCAAACTAGTCTATGATGTTCTTTTCGTGAACCTAATTCATGAGATCTCCCATCCCTAAGTATAATAATCACATAGGTGATTTTATTTTTTTATGAACTTAGTCTCATTCCTTTCAATGTATCATCTAATTTTTGGATTTTAATTTAATCTCACAAGTATTCAATATATATACTCAAAAGATTAGGTAATAAGCACCCGATCAATTTATTAGCACTAAGAGAAGTGGCAAGAAAAATTTTTGCTTTTTCTTTGTATTATGTATAGATAACATAATGTCCACTTGAGTTTTCATTGTCCTAGGCTTTTAGCCAATTTAAATTTCACACACCTATGTGAGCTAATGGTAAAATACTAATATTTATTTTTCACTTTATCGACATCGCTATCCTTTAAACATGATGACATTGTTGTATTTTTTAATACAATAAAAAACATTTGAGTATAATCATAAATATAGACATTAATTTTTCAATCTCTAGTTTTGTATATAAATTTAACATTATTGTATCTCATATGTACAATAAGAATGTCAATATTTTGTTAGAGATTTGAATTTCTTAAATTATCATTTATTATCTTAATAGACATTGTTATCAAAACACTATCGTACTTTCATTGTGCAATAAGAGTATTACTAATTTCATCAATTCTCTCAACAACATATTTGCTAAATATATCATAAACATCAATATTTTATAAGAGTTATGTTATTTTATTTTGAGTTTCAAGTCTTACAAATAGTGTAAATTGCTAAGTTAAGGCAAGATGGTTGAACTTGTATTCTTGAAACGATGTATTAAATACGTTTGATCCCTTGCATTAGAATTTTCCGTAGATAACGTGTATTATTTCAAGAAAGTAATTTGGTTGTGTCTTGAGACAATCACCTCAAGTTTTTTGTAAAACTATTTTGATAATTTGATCATTTTTATATCATGCACAAAACATAGTAACATGATTTTAATTCTTAATTTTTCTAATGATCAAAGTAAAAAATTCTATTTTTTTATCCATTTTAATTTATGATAAATTTATTTATTTATTGTGTGATTTTTATTATTTAATAATGTTCATTTTTATATACTATTAACAACAATTAGTCTTTTATTTTTTATTTCTTAAAGCCATTGGCACTTGGTATCTCCCTTTCCTCTTTGAGCACTCAAAGTTCTTTTCCATATTTAACCTCTTTATCATCTCAAAGTCTTAACTATTTCCTCTTTAGCATCTAAATGTTATTTATTGTGACTGACGCTGCATGAGGATCCGAAGGGAAAGTAATAAAGCTGAAAAAGAAAACAAAAAGTTATTTGCTGCTGAGAACCACAATTATTACAAAACCATACATGTTTTGCTGTTATTCCGTATTTGATCTTCTCTCATTTAAGTATAATAAACTCAGAAAAGAATAACAGATACCTAGTAGTTTTGTTTTTATTCTTGAACAGAGATACCTAGTACTACTTAGCATCTAATAAGAATTTAAGATAGGAAATTTCGAAAATTTATATTATTTAGTTATGTATATTATGCAACTGATTAGGTGCTGTTTATCTGCTTACCAAGGGATAATCCTGCTATGTGCTAAAAGACATGTGAACGCAATAGAGAAAAGTATATTTCACTACTACTAACCCGCGAGAAGAAAGTTCTCTATAGATTTTATTGGGGAAAAAAATCTAATGCGATAGGAAAATAATTTATGAAAAATACTATCATTAATTATAGTATAAATGTTATTGACTAATTAATTTTTTTATAATTTATTACTGAAATAATTTACTTTTTCGATCAATCTGCAATTACCAAAGACAAGGTCAGCATATTGATCATTTATAAAATTGTAGATCTAGGTTTGGATTTGTCTAAATAGTACGTAGCAGGATGTTCTGACAACTTACTTAATAGATTTTTTTTTTTTTTTAAATAAAGGATCAATGATGGCATCTTGTAATGTAAAAAAAGATTGGCATCCTCTGGATTAATGGCGCAATATAATATCTTCCATTAATTAATGCATAGAGTCTAGAAATGTAGCTCGTTTTTTCATTGATTCACAATGACTTTAGATTCATCTTATATTGCAATCTTAATTGCTTTGGAAAATCCTTCAAAAAAAAAAATCAGAAAATCGTATTTGGACGTCCATGAATGGATTAATAGCCACTAGGTCTACCATATCTATAACCAGTGGTTTTGTTTAACCAACTATTGGATTAAGAAAGAAAAAAATAATAACAGGTTATATGCATGTAATTATAAGGGAAAAAAAAGCTAGTGGTTATAAATTAATTAGACGTATATGTTTGATATACTACCTACGTAGAGATTAAGAAGAAAAAAGGTCTGCATCCTAGTGATTAACGTGCATGTCTAAAAGCTTCCTGCACTATTAATAATTTAGAATGGGAAGAAAAGAATCAAGCAAAGTAGTTTCCAGTTATTGAATCGGAAAGAATAGTAGGACGTTAAAGAAAAGAAAAAGATAGGAGAATCGAATTGACCTCGTGGGCCTCGAAATTTCATCCAATTCCAATTGAAATTGAAGGGGGGGGGGCGGGGGGGGGGGGGGTGGGGTGGGACAAATAAACACAAATAAATTCATTACCAGTCCTCCACATGAATAAACATGTTTGATTTAGGCTGTATCATAATATATTTGGATCCAATTATTTAATAAACTAATCAGATTAGATTTTATTTATTTAAATTTGAGTTTTGTAATTATCAATCTAGACCCTACGGATTTGAATTAGATTCGGATATTTATCGAATTTATTATTTAATTTTTTTTAAAAAAATATTAGCTATATATATTCAAAATCATATTTCGATTTAAATGAGTTTAAACTTTTCATGGATAAAAAAAATGTTATGATGATATTTAATATGTCAATTAAAAAAAAATCAAAATGTCTCACCATTAAAAAGAACAAAATCAAATAATTTCTAATAAAAAAAATATTAAAGGTCAAAATTAATCTAAATATGGCAAGAAGTGTGATAAAGTTAAAAAAAATTAATAAAAAAACTTATTCTAGGCACAACTTGATTGGAATATTGAAAGAAAATCTTAATGTTTTATAAATAATAAGCTTGAAATAGAGAAAAATTTAGATTGGATTAACCCTTTATAAATTAGAAAAAAAGTATAATATTACCAATAACTCATCAATTATTTTTTTTATACATTTGTACGATATTTTTACAAAATTAACTTGAGACTTGAAAAATAATTACAAACTTATCATGTAATTGTTTGAAAAAATAACCATCTGGAGAGAAAAACAGGAAGTATACAACGTTTTTTAATCTAAATCTAATGGCATATTTTTCTTATTTTTTATGTTTTTAAATTATTATATTATTAAATATAATATTATTATTCACTTTGGATCGGATTAGACTATTATCAATTCGGATTATAAAAATTGCATACTAAATTTATTTAATTATATCATAATCCAGTAAAATTTGGATTAAAACCCGATTAATTGACAATACATATAAGAATGGATCCACAATTCAATTGTATAGATTTTTGAATTGAAAATAGTGTTCTTTCATGATATCTAATTCCTCCTGTGCATGGATCCAAATAACTCTCTAATAATTAAGTAATATTGTCAAGCAAAGGTCTCATCAGACCACGTTTTTCAATCGCAGGCTTATTATCCGTGAAGTTCTCTCCCCTCCCAAGTCCTAAAAGTTGTACGAAATCTATCAAAAATAACTTATCGATATGTGAAAATTAAAATAATAACCGCAATATTCCCCCATTACTTACTTTCTTCCTCTATATATTGGTTCATGGACTCTTTACTCTTCACCACACTACCACTAGGAAGTCCATAACCAGCCATCCCTTTCGGCCTCCATTTCTTTCCCCTACATATCCATCCTCCGAAAAAATGACCGAAGCCAGCCAGTACATTTCCATCTCCAAGAAAAATAAGAAACTCATCCTAGCCATTTTTGCTTCTTTCTTACTTGTTGCCACTATAATTGCCATTGTCACTGGTGTAAATTCACAAAAAAACTCCACCAAAAATGATGCTGCTCATGCCATACTAGAAACTATTGGAGCTGTCAACACATTGACTGTTCCAATGAATGTGTTTCTACTACATATAAACAGCACTAGAGATGATGCTCAAAAAATCATGTTCGATGCTGATAAGCAACAATCCACCAATAAGGGACTTAGCCAAGAACAAAAGAAAGCTTTCGTTGATTGTTCAAAGAATTATGCTAGGATTGTTGACGATTTAAACATGCTCATTGTCGACCCCAACAAGAAAGCTGCTGATCTCAAGACCCATTTCAGTTCTTGCTTGTTCAACAAAGATTCATGCTTGGATGGTTTCTCTCATTCATACAAAAATAAGGAGGTGCGTGACGCTTGGTCCAGCGATACAGGTGCTGTTAAAGCAAAGTGTAGCCAGGCATTGGGAATGATTAAGGATGAGTCAACCGCTGACATGCCCAATGGGCTTAAGACCACGAACAGGAAACTCAAGGAGGACAGCGATAGCAATGAACGGTGGCCAGAGTGGCTGTCAGTAACCGACAGACGGTTGTTTCAATCATCACGGTTGACTCCAGATGCGGTGGTGGCAGCTGATGGCAGTGGGAACTATAGGACAGTATCAGCTGCAGTTGCTGGTGCACCAAATCACAGCAGTAAGAGGTACATTATTAGAATCAAGGCAGGTCTTTACAGGGAAAACGTGGAAGTACCAATAGAGAAGACTAACATCATGTTTCTTGGAGATGGAAGAAAAACAACTATCATTACAGGAAGTAGGAATGTAGTTGATGGCAGCACAACCTACCAGTCAGCGACAGTTGGTGTGTCCATTTCCCCCTTTTCTTTTTTCTTTTCACATGTTTATATGCAATTTTCATAACAAGTAAACGGGGTTTGTTAATTTTAGTGACTTTTGTTTTTCATGACTGTGTGCAGCCGTGGAGGGCCAAAGATTCCTAGCCAGGGACATAACCTTCCAAAACACAGCTGGTCCATCCAAGTACCAAGCCGTGGCACTACGAGTTGAATCTGACCTTGCAGCGTTCTACAAATGTGGCATGCTGGGCTACCAAAACACCCTCTACGTCCACTCAAACCGTCAATTCTTCGTAAATTGCTTCATTGCAGGCACGATTGATTTCATTTTTGGCAATTCAGCTGTTGGTTTCCAAGATTGTGAAATCCACGCTCGCCGCCCCAATCCAGGCCAAACAATCACAATAACTGCCCAAGGAAGGAGTGATCCTAAACAAAACACCGGCATTGTAATTCAGAAATGTAGGATTGGTGCCGCTTCTGATCTGCAACCTGTCAAGAGTAATTTCTTGGCATATCTTGGTAGACCCTGGAAGGAATACTCGAGGACTGTTATCATGCAATCGTCCATAAGTGATGTGATTAATCCAGCCGGCTGGCATGGGTTGAAGGGTCGCTTTGCACTTAACACATCATATTTTGCAGAGTATGAAAACAGTGGGGCTGGTGCTGGAACCTCTAGAAGGGTTACCTGGAAAGGACACAAGGTGATTACTAGTGCAACCGAAGCTCAAAGTTTTACTCCTCGCAATTTCTTAACTGGTACTGGTTGAGATCCACTACCTTTCCCTTCTCTCTAGGTCTCTAAACTGTTTTCTTTTGGAGGGGGAGTCATTATATCATCCGTACTTCTGGTACGTGTTGAAAGAGTGTTTTGTGTGGCCTATGTATCTTCTTTTTTCATGGTTTTGCTTGCGAGTTTTGGTTCATGTTTTTGGAAAGTTACACTCTCCTCCCAGTGGCCGAGGAGTTCGTCTTTTTGGTCCTAGCTAGCCTGGACTCTTATGAATAAGAGTGTGTGAGATTATAGTTAAATTTGATTTTTATTGTTGCTTAAATTTCCAAGGATGGCGTTGCTATTATGGCTTATTTTATTTGGTGTTAAAACTTCCTCACAGGGAACCTATTTTGGTCTAGTTCTTTAGACCATAGCTGCGGAACGTGATGCAGTCCCCTAGGAAAGGATGCCCCTAAACGATTCAACTACAACATCGAACTTTTTGCACAATAAATAGTGTAAAGTATTTGACAATTATATATGCATCCATGCCCTTGCAGTAATGGCCAAACGATGAATATTTATGAAGGGATCTGAATGTCTTGTAAATAAAGAAATTGCAAAATTATGGGGGATAATTAATGATTTTTTTATTTGCAACAATATAAAAAAGTTGAAAATATAATGAGTAAGCAGAGTCTTTTTATTTAAAGAAATTCAATCTCAATAGATATATTCTGTAATATGAATTGCTTATAATATATATAATCTCTAAAATTAAACAATTGAATGTATTAATTTTTTAAAAGACGAGACTTTAATTTCATGAATAATTTATAAATTCTCTTAAATCGCAGCATGATTTGATAGAGAAATAAAATATAAAAATTAAGGTGAACATGATATATATAAGAAATATTGGTATTAGTAAGAAGGTAATGTTATTTTTCCGTTCACAAAAACCAATTTTGTACATAAATGTCATTCTGTTTGGATGCCGCAACCTATTATGTAATTGCAAGAGAAATTTTAAAACACAAAAAAATAGTTAATTATATTTGCTAAAAAATAATTAACGATATTTGTTTTGCGATTCTAAGATAAATATACATAAAGAAGATGAAATATCTCGTTATGTAACCATATATAATGTAGTGTTTTGCAATCTGATTGTTTTTTAAACTCCATACGAATGATTAAAAAAGTATGTTTTATTTCTTGATTTTTTAGGTTTAAGTTTTAAAACCATTATTTAGTGAAATTTAAAATTTCTTTGAATGTACCAAATATATGTAGAGGGAATTTGTTTGTAAAGTTGTTTGAAAAAAAATCTAGGTTAATTAATGTATACACTAATTAAAAAATATTTTCTTATTGTTGAATAAGAACAAAATCTAATTTTCTTTTTAATGCGAGTTAAAAAAGATTTTAACAAAAGATACAATAGATATATCATATTTACATATATGATTTTTTTTTCCTAAAAGAAAATTACGTTTTATTTAATTGTCTATATTTTAAGTATAATTTGAAAGAGAAGATGCAGTTCGCGTGCAACAAAACAAAATCAATGCTCGATTTAGCACCCAATCACACAATTATAACTGTTAACAATCTGAACGTTCGGAATTTAAATGTTCTGAGTGAGGGTCGCCCAACATCAAACGCTTTCGGCCAAAACATGTTTTTTTGCGAACCTCAAATTAGCTCCTAAGCTATATATCAATTCTCAAATGAGTCCAAACCAAAATATTTTATAAATTTTTTGTATCGAAAATGATGTTTAATAGCATATAAAATGTACAATAAATGAAAAATAAAATCAATAAAATCAGATAAAAGAGATTAATTGAGAAATATATAAAGCAATTGGGATCAATCGATAAATGATTTTGTTTTAGAATTGAATTAGGAATGAGTATAAACAATAGTCACTGCATTGATGTTTTCCCTCCTTTCGAGGCTGCCGCCAATTCATGACACTCTTAAACGGACGAAAAACACGCGCCTTTATCAGCTTGCGATCCAAGTCATCGGTGCGTTTTTGTTTACACTGTTCATTGACAACATGTTGTCAACCAATCACAAGCGTTGTTTTTGTGATATATTCTCACAGAAATATATGACAGTTCATGTTATCGTTTAAACTAGGCATTGAAGACTGATTTTACAAGTTTTTAACGACAAATACGCTTGAAATGTAGATATTATTAAATGGCTGCCGGAGAAAATATAAAAAACCAATGCGTGGATGCATGATACTAATTTCCCATATTGTTGTGACACGAAATAAATATAATGTGTGAAAGGGATCAACATGAATATAATATGAATTCTAATGTAATGATCAATATTTACCATACACCAATGAAACTTTCGATTTTACTTTTGTTGTTATTTCAAAGAATATTCTATATATAATCTTATGCTATAATTTTAGAAAGTATGTATATTTTTATGAGTGTATGTATATAATTTCTCAATTCTCCTGAAACATTAGAGAAAACTAAAAGTGGATTATTTCTTAGAAATTTAATACATAAAAAAAAATTATTAAAAGATGTTTATAATAAAGATATTGTTAGAAAAACATGATCTAGATAAATAATAAGTTAAGTGTGATGAAAAAAGTATTTTCAAATAAGAAGTTTATTTCATATTAGAAATGAAAGAAGGCAAACCTTTTGTAAAGATTTCTAATTTGAAGGAATTGGAGGAAAACTAGTAGGTGAGTATATATATATAAAGATTAACTTTTCTCTTCATAAAATTCTATCGCTTATAATTCTTTTGAAGCAAAGTTGAATCCTAAGCTAAAATCTTGACAGCATTAAAGTGGGGATAATAATTTTTTTAAAGACATTGTAGGGATATTTTTATATATATAATTAAGCATTGTATTATCTTGCTTTCATCTCTGAATTTCTGCATCTACTTTAGAAATATTCAACATATATACTAATTGAAAATAGATTTTCTTTTCTATGTTTTCTAAAGCCTTTAGCATTTCCATCAAAAAATTATTGCAGCGTTAACTAATTTATATTATAAATTGTGATATATTTTATTTGATTTCACAAAACTGTGTAATTTCAAAACATAGGTAAAACTACTCCAAATGATTTTAAGAAAAAGGTTAACTAATTTATATTATAAATTTTGATAAATTTTATTTGATTTCACAAAACAAGAGATTGATTTATCTCTATGATTTATCCTCTAAAAATAGACAAATAAAACTATTCCAAATAATTTAAAGAAAGTTTGAGTTATCAGTGTAATTGCAACAGGTAAAGGAAAAGAGCAGAGTTATTTGAATATTTTTATTTAGGTAAAACTAATAGCTCTCAGTTCACCTGATAAACTATAATATAACTGAATCTTTATGAAACTAATAATATATACTAGTGTAACCGAATTTTAAAAGTTAATTACATTTTAGGCGTTGGAATGATGCAAAAATTTTTCCTTTTTAAATGATTTCGTTAATTAATTTTTTTGTCCCCTCACTGGCCAAACACCAACCATCACCACCAGCAACGAGCACAGCAGCGACAGCTCCACCACACCAGCCCACCTCGTCAGCCCTAAAACCGAGTTGGGAGGAAGAGAGAGGTTAGTCAGGTCAGCTGCAAAAAATCATGGTTGAAGCCACCATCTTCATTGATCACCTGCAATACTATTCACTATCACTCTGATCTGTGTGTTTGTAACCAAAATTGATCTTTACAATAAATCCAAGTTTAGCACGAAATGCAAATTTGGGTTTTAATTTTTTCTGCGGTCGACAATTATGTGGTCAATGATTGGTGGAGGAAGGATCTTGAGTGGTGGTGGTTGAATCGGTTTCGTGACACTCGGTATGTTGAATCGAATCGGACGAGTTGAGGAATTTTGATAGAGGGGAAGGGTGAAATGGAAAGGAAAAAAGAATCCTTTGGTCAGATTTGATTGAAATTGAATTGGTAAGGAAGAATCCTTGAAATTCTTCAACACCTTCGTCATCTTCATCATAATTCTCGCCACCTTTAGGAATTGGGTTGAATCTGGCACCAATAGTTAAAGATTAAAATGGTTCATTATCATCATAGAATCTTGATTCAGAATATTTTGGTGTTATTGGTTGTTGTTGTGGAGTACGAAAGAAAAAGTGAACATCGATTTTTGGTTAGATGTGAGAAAGAAAAGGGTCTGATTTTAGTAGGAGTAAATTATAAATTAGTCCCTCTTGCTTAAACAAATTAATTAATTCCGTTATTTTTTAAAAAATAACGGAATTAATTAATTTGTTTAAGCAAGAGGGACTAATTTATATTTACTCCTACTAAAATCAGACCCTTTCTCACATCTAACCAAAAATCTTTTGATATTTTGATATTATTCAATCTTTTTGATATTTTTCAACAACTTAATTAATCCCTTTAGTTTTAAAAAATTAATTATTTAATCTTTTTTATCTTTTTCAATTTATTTTTATTTTTTAAGAAATAATTAATAAATAAAAATATGTAACGATTGACGAGAAAAAAAATTTTTATAAAATAAAAAAATATTAAATTAGTTGTGATCAACACTAATTAAAAAAATTAAATAATTATTTTTGAAAACTAAAATGAATAATTAATTCTTTTTTCTAAACAAAAAGGATTAATTTATAATTTATTCATTTTTAATAATTTGCTATTTTCTCTCTCTAACTTACTCTTTCTATTTCTTTTCTTTTTTTCATCTTTATTTATTTTAGATGGCTACGGATCCGACCGTAAGACTAGTATGATAATATCACATGTACAGGTAACCAATACATTATGAAAGAGTTAATTATAAATCAGAGCATTCAAATAACAAATTCGAACACATAAAATACAATTACCTCATCTAATCAATGAAATGAATTAAATTGTTCTTCTCTCTTCGTATGCATGTAACTCTATTTTTATCCCTATTTCTTTATTTTCTTCTCTATTATGGATCTCTTGTATTCAATCTCTCAAAATGTCTTCATTTTTCTTCTCTATTATGAATCTCTTGGAATTCACTTCCTCAGAAATTTAAACCATATCAGTCTTAAGAAGTTTATATTTAGTGAAGTAATTCACTCCCTCAGAATTTAATCCATTGCAGTAGGAGAAGTTTCTATTTAATGAAGTACCAAATTCCTCATAATTCGAGTTTAATCATACCTTAATCTACACCCGAATTTATATTTAATGAATTACGCACCAACTTCCTCATAATTTAATGATGACCTAATCTGCGCCATTGCCACTCTATTGTTATGTTTATATTAAAGGTTTAATACATTCATTTATCCTTATATAATAGGTTAATTTTTCAATCTATTTCTAAAAAAAAAAAAAAACATTAATATATTTTTATATTTTAAGTTATTTTCTAATTCATCATTTTGGTCAAAATTTCCAACCAATTTTCAAAAATTGATCTTCATATAAGTAGATATAAGTCACTTGTATCAAATAACAAATACAATTTCAAATCACATACATAATTTGACTTAATTTAACTGAAAATTTTAACTAAAAAGATAGATTAGAAATCATCTTAAAATATAAGAATAAATTAAAGGTGTTTTTTTTTAATAACAGACTGAAAAATTAAGATATTATATAAGGACATGTAAAAGTGTTAACCCTATATTAAAATAATAGAAAATTCCATATTTATATCACTAGTTTTAAATAAATTTTATTTGTTTTATTTTTTGTCAAAAAATATTCTGATTGTTTTATTTTGACAATTTTTTGTATATTAAAGATATAATTACAACAAAATTTTCCAAAAAATAAAAGTTTATTTCAATTTAAGCCTAAGAAAGTTTGAAGTAGAAAACTAACTAAACAAACAAGCGTAACAGAAGCTTGTTGTTTCTCTTTATATATATAACATGGGAAACACTAAATCCACCAAAATTTCCTCCGGTGAAATAAAATGAAATGAAAAATCCTCCAACGTGGAAATAATGATTGTACATGAATGAAGGAATGGCAGCTTTCTCGTCCTCTTCCTCTTATCTCCTTTTGTTTTGATCTTTAATATGCTTTACAAATTACAACATTGCATTAGGGAAAATCTTGGCATCGGCTTCTAATACTTGCAAACAGATAGAAAAACATGCAAGATATCTGTATGGAAAAGCTGAAAAGATATGCTTATAGATCAAGATTCGCGAAACTTAAGCTGCGGTGTCCACTTGAGATGCAGAAGCAGCTTTCCTGATTTAGCACCATCTAGGGGAAAACTGTCTTGAAATTCTCCTTCTAATAAAACCCTAGTCAGTGTCATGATACATCTCCCTATTTTGTCCTGAAATATTCATACCATTCGTTGCAATTAGAATAATTGAAGACTATTAACAAACTTGTAAGAAAAATGCATCTTGAAATGCAGATGACTGGGAAAACCATATATAAAAAAACATCTACATAAACAAAAGCTCAGCAATACGAGTATATGACAATGAGATGCAGTTGGGGAGAAATACCTTGCCAAAAGTGTCATGGTCCCAGACTTCGGCAATTAACATATCGTGTAATGCATCCTCCACAACAAATTCAAATGTTTGATTCCAAACTGGATTCAGGTTCTCAGTTAGGACCTGGGAAAGCATAAGAGGATGAGATTATGGAGCGTATGAGCATGTTCTTTCCTGCAAAATATGTCTAGAAGGCTCTACTTTTGCTGTAATCACCAGAGATTTGGTTGGCCCAATTCACAGTTTAGATGTACTGGATTCATCGAACAGGTGATAAAACGAAATGAAAAATGAGAAAACATACGAAAAGAAAAAATAAACAACAGGATGGTCACAGTAACCAGAAATCAACCCACCCTAGTCTTGGCTTTTTTCTCAGATTTTTTCATTATAAGGACAACGTAGGGGTCAGCCTTTCCATTCAAGTCTGTTGGTGGCAAGTCTTCTGCAGCTAGAACAGTAACTGATAGTACTCCTCTCACGATGACAGTTTTTTTCGGAGATGTTCTTTCAGGATTAGCATCATCTGTTCCGTCAGTACCGGTCTTAATGGCCTTTTCTAAAGTGGTCAACTGAAAATCAGAGTTGAAAGGATTTTTGAAACTGCTCTCCATGCCGTATGGACAGTACAAAAGCTCCAAGTGCACCTGATGACAGAAGGAAGATGAAACTCATTCACAATTACAAGTTCAAATAATGCTTTTGAACCGAACAAACTGGAAAAGGATGAGAAAAAATTGTCATATATGGTAAGTTTTCATCTCAACTTGAAAAGTCTCTTTTCTTTTTTTCTTGTTCATGGCCATTTGTAAGAAATCACATATTGGTTCGGTAGTTAGTACGATCTCATATGCACTCAATATCAATATATCGTTCAGACTTGGGAGTTGGGATCAATGAAGAGAATGAAATTTCATTTGCATATAAGATTCTTACCTGACCCCTGTACTTATTATCTCTCTGTATCTCTAAATCTTTGACTAGTTTCAACCATACATCCTTCACTTTGCCAGGCACAAGGTCCTTCAGTGCCACTTGAGCACAACCAATGAGTTCAGCAGCCTGAACTCCTTCATCGTCAAAGACTCTTACTGTCAAGTGTTGAGTTGATGCATCTTCAACTACGAACTCGAAGTGTTCATTCCAGATGGGATTCAACTGGTTGTTCTGAAATTATCATAGAGTTATGACCAATCTAAAGGGAAAAAAAAAAACCTACGTGCAGAAAAATGGGAAGCTGCCCTACAATTGTTTTGCTGGTTCTCATTCTGTCACGCAGTGGACGTATAAATAAGACAGCAAATGGATCAGATTTTCCGACAATGTCTTTATTTGTGAGGTCCTTGCCCTGCACAAGCTTCACGTCTAACGTTCCAACGGGCTTCAACTCCAGGTCACTAAAACATAAAGTAATCATTAATAATTGCAGTTTGGATCAGAAATTCCAACATGTTACATCTTAGTGTGAATTCAGCTGGATGCATTCAGAAATTGCAACTTTGTCGGAGATTAATATATAGAGACTTAGTATTTTTTTATTAGAAGGGACTATTTTACATCAGAAATGCAAAATTCCAATTATCAGTGAACTCCTGGAACATGTAATGCATTAATGCACTCTGGTGATACAGAATAAGTACTCTTATGGTCATGAGGTAGAGATCAAAGTCAGGCTGGGATGAGATAACCTAAGCTGCTCTTATTTCAATCTCAGTTTAGCCTCAAACCAAAACATCTAATTGAGATTAACGTGAATTTTTCCTAACTCAAAATCAGACAGGGGTTAGAACAAAAGAGGAAAAGGAATTGGTCAAGCCTGTGCAAAGAAATTCTGGAAGCGAGTGAAACTCGAGAGTCAAGCCTGCCTTTCTCAATATGGATTACAGGTTTGAAGATTTTGGCAAATTGCACCGTAAATGACTGGCAGGCCTTACGAGACTTAATATATTGCAAAAAGATGAAAATAAAGATGATCATATGGAATTCTAGATAAAATCAGCACACCTATAATCCCCAGGTAATATTGATACAATTTTCCGAACTGGCCATGTTATAGAATCTTCAATAGCATCCTTTATGGTTTCCTGAACATAGCAATACAAGAGTTTCATTAGACCTATAATCATTCATAACCATAGTCCTAGGAATCAAAGAAAAAAATGAAAAATACAGTTTTGGAAGAGCATTTCAAATTAATGTTGAATCACCTACAATACTTTTTTTATGAGATAAGAAATTCCGCGTCATGAAATCTGTAATCATTTCAAATTAATCACCCTCCATGAAGCGAGAATCAATTTTGATGAAGTAATTAGTATTCCAGCCACAAGACAATCCTTGAGACATACATGCAAGTTTGTGAGAGATAAAACAAAAGAAACAGGATAAAATTTGTTCAAACCTCAATAGCATCTGAAAGGCCTGGGATTGCTGACACTTCACCACCGACAACTTTAAGCGTAAAATCCAGCTTTTTCTGCAGTCAGAAACATAATAAAATTTATTGTATTCAACTCAAAGAATGTGCATATAGTTTCCTACAGATTTACACATAAACATTTGTTACTTCATATACTTCATCTAGCTACTTTCAGAATGTGATTTCATATATAAGCATTTAAGTTTGTGCATATGTACATGACAAGAGTCCATGCATGTAATTAGTATTACCTTTAGAATATTTTTTTCCACCAAAATGTTAATTGTAATAAGTTTAAGGTGGTTAAAAAGTAACAAGATAACAACTCACCTTTTCTCTCAGGGAATAAGAAACAGCTCCAAAGCCAGGAAAGTCTTCAGCTAGTGGTTTGAAGATTAACCTGAAAACCCCAGTGAATCCAATATTTTTCACCTAGATGAAGTTAAAAGAGGAAAAATGAAATAAATGATAATGAAGATCTTCTACTAAATGTGCATTTAAACTTAGAAAGCTTTTGTAAATATCATGTGAATTAATTAGACAAACAACAAGACATAAAGGGTATAAATGCATGAACTATATGGGCTCTCATGCTAAGGAAAAATTCCCCAAAATTACATATGAATGTTTAACACAATAAAATCACTGTAACTCGGCAGAAACAATGTATAAAATGGTTTAACTGCTGTACCAATGCCAAAACAGAAAACAAAGAAGGAAAAGGAAAGAAAAGGGAGGTGAAAGTATCTGTCTGCAATCTGCCTTTAAAAAGTGTTATTCTATTTCTATCTTAAGATATAAGAAATCAATGCTTTAGATAACTTCAATTAAGAGAAAGCATGCATGATTCTAAGCCAATGTTGGTGAAATTTTACCATATATACTGTAACATCACTAGAACACTCAACGACAACAGAGCCGCAAGGTGAAGATTACCTGTATGGGTAGTGCCACGCCAACTCTTGTATTAATATCAAGAACAATATTTGGATTACCATCCCACTGCATCTCCAATTCCATGGTGAGACCCTTGTCTCCACTTTCCTCTTCGATAATGCAAACTCCTATAGGACATCCACAACTTGCACATATCATTATACATTTTTCTCTAATGAATGGCTACCACTTTCACCAAATACTCCCAAGTTGTTCTAATTTCATAAGTTACCACTGTTATTTTTCAAGCCCAGGAATTCAATTACTCAAATGACTAACACAAGGAGGAAAGAAGGTTTCTCTCTGTGTTTCTCAAATTCTAACCATAAATTCTCTGTTATTATAGATCCCATGACTACTAACATTTTGGAAAAAGAAAAATCATCAAGGACTTAAACCAATTTTGTAATCAATCAAACTGACCTGTAAATTGTGGAGCAACAGTACCAAGGGTCAACTTGGAAAACTTGAGAGATGATAGTATAGCTGGGGTGTATTGTTCAAGAATTGGCTCAACACTGCTTCTTATCAGCTCTGATGCTGCCTACGCAATCACATAACCACCCAGAAACTTACAGCTCAATTTTACTAACCAAAACTCTGCAAAACATCAACCATGAAAAAGGGAAAATTATTCAAATTTAATTACCTCATTAACATAAGGCCAAATCTTGTCAAGTTGAACATTAAGCCAATTTAACTGCAATTCATAAAGAAACCACTATCAGGACCATGATTAAAATAATGATATATAAAGGTAAAAACAGAATCAAATTACTTGTGCTAATTTTACCAAAATATTCTTCACCAATTGCTTTCCAAGAAAGGAAAAACCCATGTGGATCCTATTAATGAAACTCATAAATCCAGTGGTTGAAATTTTTCGGTAGGATTAGCATTACTCATATATCATGTATAACTTAACTTTTGTCTATGTGAAAAGACAACCCAAGGTGGATAAAATTCAGCAGGAAGGATTTTTCTTGAATCTTGGACTGTCATTCTTGCAAATGCTGCCACTGTCTTAGCCTAAAAACACACAAACATTAAATTAACGAAAATAAACATTTAAAACCTATCCAAGATAATCATTCATGAAACTAAGAAATCACATAGTATGTACCAATTGAGAACGACGCGTGGATCTGACATTTTCGTACTTAGCAAATGCTATAATGAGACCAATCCCAACAGAAATTCCTATAACCATACCAATAAAGAAAGACATTGTTTCAGTTTTGTTACTGTCTGTGTCTCAGTTTCAGGGTCCTTTTTTCTTTCTTTTTTAGCTTCAGATTTGATTTTCAAGCCATGTTGTTTGATCAAAGAATGTTTGTTTGCTTGTTTGTTGAGGTGGGAACGTAGGAGACGTGTGAAGATGAAGGAAGTAGAAAGGTTGAGGTGTCTTCGTTAGATTGTCATTTGTTAGTTGGATTATTAGCCAATAGCCTTTGGTTCAAGTTTCGTATCTGTAAAGAAGAAACTCATTTGTTCTGTTCTCTCCTTCTAACTTTCTTTCCTTTTTTTATGTTTTGAGATATTGTCTCTAGGATTTTGCAAAATTGGCCCACTTGGATAGGATTTTTTATTTACTTTCATTTAATGAGTGGCATTGCATTCTTAATCTTTTGAAATAAACAAGTGAATTTCCTTTTTCTTAATTTCTACTCCTCTTATTATTTTTTATTACTTAAACCGGCTAAATTGGCTTTTGGTTCGTGACATTGGTCTCTTGAATCGACGATTTTTTTTAGATTCAATAATAAGTGTCTTTGAGCTAGCTTTCGTATTTTCAAGAATAATTTTTTTTTTAAATATAGGTAAAAAACATTCTCCAACGCATGACTTTGAGAATTTTGAGAATAAATTTAAAAAATACTAATTACAAAGATTGAAACTCTAAATTTGATTTATAAATTAACACTTACTTATCGGTGGATTAATACCTAATGGGTAACGATTTCTTAAATCATATATAATTCATATATAAAAACATATTTTTGCATTTAATTTGAATATTTTTAGATCTAAAATTTCATAGTTAGATCTCAATTTTTATATAAGATAGCCGGATTCTCATGGATGTGAGGTTTACTTGCCTGTAAAATACTACTCCCATACCGAGGATTCATTTGCCCTTGGAATGGAATTTAATTTTTGAGGTTAAATAATAATAAAACCAACAGATAAGGGTCTTTAAAAAGAATTTGTGAAATATTAAGGGTTATAAGTGTGAGAAGAAAATAGTACTGAGTCCTCCAAGGAAAGAGCAACAGAAGTAATGACAAACTTCAGGTCGGATGTTTTACACCATCTAATGTGATTCTTCTGGTCAGTTCTTATAATCTATCTTTTCAGCCAACTATAATACCTGTATGCCTGCCACGTATGCACAGTGATAGCGGCTTGTCGGCATCGGTAGTTAAACGCACGCGACCTGCGTACGTGGCCATATTAGAATTCCGATCTTGTCCTTTTTAAGAAAAGTTACGTGGCAGCATGGAGTCAACTACGTACTAAACTCACTTACGTCGAGAGAACATAATGGTGTAGCAGTCATATCAAAGACCGATGCATATCCTTGTAACATCACGAAACTTGTGTCAATTATTATTATCATTATTATTATTATTAAAATCTAATTTTTAAATATTTATAAGTTTCATATTTCTGGTTCTATTTGGGTGTTTATTTGATATTGTATGGTTTTTATAATTTTTTATTTGTTGATAATTTATTGTTTTTATTATGATTTTTTTTTTTACATTTGTTTAACAATTTAACATACTTTCTTAGAATCTAATTGAAAATTCTTGAATGTTTTCCAATATTAATTTTTCATTTATTTTGTTATTATTATTTATTTTGTTCAGCACGAACAAGTACCCATGTCCAATTTGAAAATTCTGTTATGCATAATCAGATGGGATTTTGACCGTGATAATTAAAAAAAGAATTTATTCGATCACGTTGCTCATCCTTCAAACTTTTAAAAAGAAAAAAAGAATATCGCAATTTCTTGTGAATAGACCGTTTTGAGATTTTTTTATATATAAAAAAATTGATTGCACGAAAGGAGAGTAAATTATAAATTAGTTTTTCTCGTTTCAAGAAACGAATTATTTAATTTTTTAAAAAAATAATTATTTATTTAATCTCTCTCTCTCCAAATGGCTAGCTTGACTTTTAATACAACCACGGGTCTGTAGAAGCCCACAAAATCATTATCATAGGCTTTCTTTTAATATTTGTGTATGCATAGCTAAATAATTGTTTGGAATATGTTGGTTTTTTTACGGTGAAAAAAGGCTTCAGTTTTTGGGTTTTTCTTTCTAATTGCCTTATTTTTCTAATTGTTATTCATTTCAATGTTATTTTTTTTATTATGGGGTCAATAAATGTTTTAATTTATGTCTGGCCAACTAAACAATGTATTTTTATAGATGTTTTTACTTATTTTTTCTTGTTAAAAATGTTATTAGATGCAGAAAAAAAATTTCGAATTTATTTCTCTTCTGTAAGATAATTTTTTTAAAGAATCTTGCAGCAATTTATTTGGCTTTAATCCATTATTTCCTTTGGTTATAAGCTTCAACACCCCCACTCCTCGCCGCACACAGCGAAACATCCAACACTAAGACAGCCTCCATAGCAAAAGTATGCCCAAACCATACTATTTTGAATCTCATCTAAACATTTTATCCATTAAAGTATTTCATCCCAACTTAAATATTATTTTTCACATAAATAAAACAGTTTATATTTGTCTATTTCGGATACAACATAGTCTATATTATTTTTATGACAAAACCTTAGCAACAATACTAATCGAAGATGAACCGAAAGAACAAGGTTTGCACAACAATACTTTGTTCTCCTCCGTTCCGCGCCTCTCGATAAACGCCAAGTATGTACATATATATAGCAGAGACTCCTATACAAATAGGGACTCCTATACAAAAAGGACTCCAATTTTACAAACAAGAACTCCTAAAGATCTTAAACACAATCTATAGTTAATTCCATGCATATCACGTTCGGTCCTCCCATGCATATCATGTACGATCTGTCCGGCTTGGTAATTGACTTCTTACGAATATCCGATTACCCTCCCTCAAATTGATGTATGAAGGTTGTGAATACCCAACTTGCGTAAGAGAGAATTGAACCGAGATCGGCCAAGAGCTTTGGTGAGTATATCCGCCAATTGAATATGAGTAGAAACATATGAAGGGCGAATATATCCAACAAGAATTTCATTTTCGACAAAGTGACAATCCACTTCGATGTGTTTGGTGCGCTCGTGGAAAACGGGATTCTTGGCAATGTGGAGAGTCGTATGGTCGTCACGAGTATAGGCGTATAGGTTGTGGATGAGAAATACCAAGACAGCCGCAAAATGCTTTTCAACCATTTTAGTTCACAAGTAGTAGAGGCCATAGATCGGTATTCGGCTTTAGCGAGATGAGCGAGAAACGAGTATGTTGTTTCTTGGTTCTCCAAGAAATAGGCGAATTACCCGAGTAGCACAAACCAACCAGGTGAGAGATCGACGAGTCAATGGGCAACTTGCCCAATCCGAATCACACCACCCATAGAGAGTCAAGTCGCCGTCCGTCCGTAACATGATACCTCGTCCCGAGTTTTCCTTTAAATACCTCACTAGTCTTAAAGCGGCATCCCAATGTTCTTGCTTGGGTTGTTGCATGAACCGAGACAATGTATGTACACCATAAGACAACTCGGGTCTAGTGAAGCATAAATAGATCAATCATCCAATTAAACTTCTATACCGTTCGGGATTTGAAAGAAGTTGTCCATCGGCGAGAGCCAAGCGATAGTTTTGTTTCAAGGGTGTATGCGTAGGTTTAGCCCTACGCAAGCCGGTTCTTGAATAATATCTAAGGCATATTTTCTCCGACATAGAAAAATCCCGAGTGGGAGATCGAGCAACTTCAACACCAAGAAAATATTTGAGTGTGCCTAAGTCCTTCATATGAAAACATGCGTGCATATAAGCCTTGAACCGTCCAATAGTGGCAAGATTATTTCCAACTACAGAAGATCATCCACGTACACCGGAATGACTATATGAACCTCCGGTTCCTGTAGTACGAACATGGAATAATCGGATAAAGATTGTGTGAATCCATACATCCCGAGAGCATGGGACAATTTTGCAAACCAACACCTAGGAGCTTGCTTGAGTCCGTATAATGACTTACTAAGTTTGCACACCATCCGGGGTGAGAAACATTAAAACCAGTTGGGGGCTTCATAAAGACTTCTTCCCGTAAGTCCCCATGCAAGAAGGCATTGTGGACATCCATTTGATGTAGCTCCCGATTCTTTCCAGCAGCTACCGCTAACACCACTCGCACTTGTTACCATCTTTGCTACTTGGAGCAAAAGTCTCGGTGTAGTCAATTCCTTCCACTTGATGATTACCAAGTATAACCAAACGAGCCTTAAACCTTTCTACTCGTGCCATCGGATTTTTGTTTAATTTTGTAGACCCATTTGCATCCAAGGGCCTTCTTCTTAGGTGGGAGAGGCATAACGGTCCGAGTTTGATTATTTTCAAGAGCACTCACTTCGGCTCGTATAGCCTCGTGCCACCTATGATCTTTCACCGCTTCACCGTAGGTCACGGGCTTCGTTCCTGTTCAAGTGAGGTAAGAAAAACACGATGTCCCGGAGAAAAGTTATGACTATTCACATAGTGAGCAATAGGATAGGGCACACCCGAGAATGGAGAAGATGGGGGCAACGACTCGGATGGGCTCGGTATTTTAATTGTGTTGGTGACGTAGTCTCGAAGGCGAGAGGAAGCCTGTTTAGCTCGCATCCATGTCCCATTTGTTCCCGCTCAAGATTTACACTAGATTTTATTTGCGTGTCACCCGATGTGATCTCTAGTGATGAAACATGCTCTCCTATTGCTTTAGTTATCATTTCAAGCACCCCTCGTCATCTATATTGGTCAACTCGTGACTAGCGCCTCCCCCTCGACCCCAGCACTAGTCACCTCGTGGTTATCTTCAACTATGCGATGCGGGACCATGACAACTCCTTAGGTATTGCATGATGATCCTCGCTTCATATTTATTGGTGTCCGGCTTGTTAAAGGGATAGTTGGTTTCAACGAACACCACATCCCTCGACACAATGTACTCTTTTGTCTCTAAATCAAATAATTTCCATCCCTTTTTCCCATGAGGATACCCAACAAATATACATTTCCTACTCCTCGTTTGCAAATTTATATACTTTTCTCTTTTGGTTATGAGCAAAGCATAAGCATCGAGTACTCTCAAGTGTTTAAGGGAAGGAGGTTCGCCACGCAACATCTCATAAGGTGTTTTTCCATCGAGGATATTAGAAGGTGTCCTATTTATCAAGTACCCTGCTGCTAATACACATTCTCCCTAAAAATCAATAGAAAGGTTTGCTTGGAACCTAAGGGCTCGGGCAACATTCAAAATATGTCTATGTTTTCCTTCGACTCTTCCATTTTGTTGTAGCGTTCCAACACAAGAGGTTTGAAATAAAATACCTTGCCTCAAGAAATAATTTTTCATGCAAATAAACTCGGTCCCATTGTCACTTCTAACAATTTTAACTTGTTTATCAAATTGCCTTTTAACCAACGAAAAGAAATTCACAAGCATTCGGGGTACTTCTTTCTTATCACCAAGCAAGTAAATCCAAACACATCGAGAATAATCATCTACTATCATCATGAAATAATAAGCACCACAAGAAGAAGGAGTTTTATATGGACCCCATAAATCACGAGTGGATCAATTCAAAAATGCCTTTGGAATAGTTTTCACTTACGGGAAATTTGTCCCTTGATTGTTTTGCTCTAAAACAAATATCACGGCTTTTGTTTGATAAATCCTTACACTTATTCTCACTAATATCGGGAATTGATTGGGTGATCTTGAAAGATGGATGTCCCAAACGCCCGTGCCACAACTCCACTTGATTTATTCCTTCCATTTTGCATACCTTCTCCTCACGTTTGCCACAAAAATAATAGAGCCCATCTTCACGTTTACTTGCACCAATCGGCATCCTCGAAGTGCGGTCTCGCATAACACGGTTTATCGGTGAATTGCACAATGCATTTTAATTCATCCAACAATCGTGACACGTATATCAAGTTGCAGCTCAAATTGGGGACATAAAGAACATTTGTAAGCTTTAAACCCCCATCTAGGAACACCGTCCCTTCTTTGGCGGCGTATGTTCGTGCATCATCCAGTAGGTCGACTGGACATGGTGCAATGTCATGTATCTCACTTAATTCTTTTAAATTCCTCGTTATGTGGTTCGACGCTCCGGTGTCGATTATCCATGAGAATTTACTTGTCATCTTTTCACTAACATCTCGTTTTATTCGAGCATCTCCACCGAGTCATTGCCATTGATCCATGGTTAGCCCCGT